AAACAAGAAGAGACTAAACAAGAAGAGACTAAATCAGAGGAGGAAACAACACCAAAACAAGAACCACCACAGCAAAAGGAAGAAGAAAAAACAGCTGAACAACCCGCTGATGCTGCTCAGGAACCTGCCAAAGACGAGCCTGTTCCTCCTGCTGCTGAATCCCCATCTGATGAAGGAAAGAAGGAAACTAACGAAGAAGAAGGCAAGAAGGAGGATGAAAAGAAGGAGGAAGCAACTGAGCCAGCACCTACAACAGAATTTGAACCCAAACAAGACGAAACCGCGGAACAGAATACAGAGATGTAAAATCTTTTTGAACCGRCTAAGGTAATATGTTAGGAACTTCTTGATTCAATTCTGTCTAATTAGACAGCAAATTCATATGGGCATTATTTTTGACAGAGAAATTTAAATTTATAAAAATAAAATTGGAAAAGAATTTGATTTAGTTATTAAGTGATAATTGAAGAATCTGGAATCTGGTAAATGCTGGTATTCATCCATTCATTCAGTCTATCCAAATAAGGCTATATTAGATGATGTAAACTTATTTTCAAGTTTTAAACATTGATAATCATAGATATTAGCTGCAACAGAWTTATTATGCTTATTTGCACCGTCTTTGTTAGATTCAAAATATAAGCTTAAAATGTGGGCTCCATGGAACCAGTGAATGGAAAACTGTTGGCATGTTGCATAGACCCCTCGCATTGATTTCTCAGAGGAATTGTTATGGGGGACAGAACAATATTTCAGACCTTGTGTCATTCCCTTGAGAATAAGATTCTTTGTTTGAGCTGTATCCATATTCATGTATCTGCCCATGTGCAACGGAGTGCAAACCTTAAACAAAGAAATGATACTCTAGGGAATGACATGTGGTCTGAAATGGGAAAACATTACGTCAGAGCCGAGGAGGTCTTTAGGCCATCATTTCTGATGCAAAAAAAATCTATTGTTTTGTCCCCCAGAACAATTCCTCTAGTGACTCAGTGTACAAGGGGTCTAGTTGATCATTGGCTGACTGTTGTCAATCAATGGTTGATGAATATTGCATGATTCTGTCAGTCATTGGTTGATTTAGACAGTTAGGTTGATTGCTGTCAATCAGTGGTTGATTAAGATTGGCTGTTGATTGACATTGTTGCTTTCAATATGAATCATTTTCGAGGTAACCCATTTCATT